TGATACGCCTTCTCATTTGAATTTTTCCATTAAAATTATTTTCTCACATTCTACGTTCTAAAATTAAACTTAAAAATTTTCTATGACACCTGACATGACAGCAATTACAAGAATTTATACTTTATCGTTCTCGCCTTTTAACTCTGCTGCAATTTTCTGTGTAGGAATGTGTATAGCACTTGCAGTTGACTTTGGGCAACTAGTACTCCTCTTCTTGCAGCTGCGAGAAAGGCAAAAAGGTATTCGGAAGTTTATGCAGAACATTAAAAATTCTTTTCATGCGGACGCAAAACTCAACAATCTTAAACTTAGCGACAACTCTTCGTACATGAGATTAATGTAATTTCGACCAGTATTTTAGTGCTATGAGGTGTTAATCCAAGCTGAACAAACACATTGATACACTCATTCTGCGGCAGTGGCTTTCCTTTGAGTATAACTCTAACATAAATGACCTCGAAATCCAGATTTTCTACTTTTTGTGCTGTAACAATTTTTACAACGCTTTTATCAACTTGCAATGTTGTGTGTCCAGACACCATTTGCAGCTATAAAACCTTTGCTTTGCAAAGTTTCTATAAAAAAGTCTATGCACTACGTACGCTACAGCGGAAATGGACGACACGCCATTTCTTTAAATGAAATTAATTGGTGCTCGTATGTATGTACATACATATGTATATGCATGTGTGTGCACCAATCTATTAATATCGTTGAATTATTTTAATATCTATTGCAAAATTTTATACAGACAATACTAAAAGGTAGAAAATAAATAATATAAAAAAAACTTTTTAATATAGAACGCTTTTATAAATGGACTAAAAAGTAGAAAATAATAATTCTCAGTCCCATAGAATTTGTTTTGATAACTTTAGATTTTGAAATTTTAGCAAAAGTCATTATAAACAATTTATGAGATTAAAAATGAAAAGCGTGGGGCGCATGTAATAGACCAGAATTGATATGAAGGGTAATATATGTATGTATGTGGATATATGAATAACGACCGCTTAAAATCGATCTCAAATGTGTACTTTCTCTGTAGAAATTTTAGGTCTATGTAGTTTGACTATTGTCAATTAAATCTAGTGCTTTGTATTGCCATCCCGACAATACCGGGATCCTAAAAATCGAAAAAATTAACACTCCTAATGTATGTATATGCATTTACAAATATTAGAAGTTTGAATTTAAGTACAGAAACTAGTGGTTTAATTTACTTTGTCTGCGTCTACTCAGGCTAGCGGTTAGGTGGACATAGTCGCGTACGTTCTAGACATCAAAAAAAATTATACAAAAAAATTGTCTCACTGAAAAAATACAGTATAGTTTGCTTAGCTGCCCATTCTTCTTTGCACGAAAAACTTCTGCGCTTAACCGAAAAAAGCACTTAAGCGAATGTTGTTTACTACTTCAATGAGGAAGGTATCCGAATCCCTATGAGACCAAATAATGGAGGAGCACTTCCCACGTAGAAATTACTGCAAGCGAAATTTTTTCCGAATGGTATCTAACTATCTTTATAACTATATAAAATTATAGCCGTTTTTGTAGTTCTGCGAGATGAGCAAAATAAATAAGAGCTTGTAAAATTAGGGCAAGTGTAGAGCCAGGGTAGGTAAACGTGATACTTTCTGTGATAATTGATAATAGTTGCATAATTTTTAAGGCAAGTATCGCTAATGTGCAGTTATGTTAAATGCATCTATCGGAGCAGTTTCCTTATAAATGTGAAAAATAATGCCACTGATGCGCAATTTAGGGTAGGTATCTTAAAGCATAAAGGCAGCAAAGCAAAATATACTGTATCTATCGTCGCCAAAAAGATTCATGTGGCATTACCCGGGTGTTATTCGTTTAACCGGCTCCAACATATGTATATTACCCGGGTACCTGGGCAAATCGGGTAATACCCGGGTACCCGTCAGCCCTATTTTATGCATATGGCCCAATATTTCAAAATTCTTTGCAGGTTGTAATTTTCATCCGATTTCGTATTTATTTTTTTGAAAATTGATGAGATTTAGAAGAGACCTGTCGGGGCCCCATTTTTGGATTTTTATTTGTTGATATTAATTTTTTAGTGCAAAAAGAAGAGAAACTCGAAATTTTGAATAAAATCAATTCCCCAGTTCCTGTTAACCTTCATGCGCTCGGGATTGAAAACTCGCGTAGACGGTCGGATCTCTAGTTGTACCAAGCGCTGATTTGTAGGGAGAATCATTTAAGCATATGAACAGAAGGCGGTTACGCTAACTCTTACACAATTTTACAAATGTATTTTACAAAATAAAAAAGAATTGGTATACACAAAATGAAAGTGAAAACAAGTAATTTTTAAGCAAAAATTAAAACTGACTTCAATTCTCATATACAAATTTAAGAGTACCGTTGATTTCTTCATGATCCAATGATCGGATCTCCGAAGTGCCACCTTTGCTTTAAAAAAGAATAATACACATCGGAAAGCGGTAAAAGACATAAAATAAAAAAATAAACGAATTGATAATCTCCTGCTTTTTTGAAGTCGGATAAAAAATTAACTTTTATTCATCGAGTAGCATTTATCGAAAGTCTAAGTGATAATATGTGCGTCGCAAACTCGCTTCTTCTTTTTCAAAAACAAAATCCGTCTGTATAACACCTACCGAAGTCAGATACGCAACAACATAATTACGAAAAACCATGTTTCGACACGCAGGAATCAAAAAAATTGGTGGCTGAGTAAAAAAGTGATGTGACTTTTGTACACATACATATGAGAACGTGTAATAAAAATAAAAAAAAAAAATCAAAACACACGAAGCAATATATTCTTTTTCCATTGTAGGCAATTCTTTAAGTGTCATGGATTATTCGCGTGAAGGTATTTAACATTTATTTGACATGTTTCTTTTTTGATCAAAAAATTTACTTGGAAGTGCAGTTGCTTAAGATTACACAGGCCGACAAAATTTTGGCTAAATCTCAGAACAGAAACTTTTATATAAATTTCCGAAGGTTTTCGGTGCGCTGAACTCGAATCTGAACTCAGAATTCACTGTTGGCTCTGGTTTAAAAGATATACTACCTAAAAGTGCAAAAATAGCTGCTTTCGCCTATATTTGAAATTAAGTAGCATCACGGAAAAATATTTGTTACCAAAGCCATTATAGCTTATAGCATAATGATGCGTTTGGAGACAACAACCGGAAAACATTGTACAAATAACTAAACCGGACCCAAGTTTCTGAATAAGGGGCAGCAAACACTCTTTTTTGTTCGTTCATATAAATCAGTGGGTTAAAATATACGATATGAGACATCCTTTTCATATCGGATACCAACTTTGGTGTCACACTTTCGATTGGCTTAAATTTTTTTTATGGGTTCTATACATGAAATAAGCTAAAATCTTGCTCTAATTTAAATCTTTATATCTTGGGTTCTGCGTATCGTAGATACTTCGTTTTAAAGCTAAAGAAACTGGCTTAACATTTCTATATTATGTAAGGTGGTTAAGATTGTCCCAAAGCTACCTTAGCTATTAACAGTTGAACCTTTTAAAGATAATTTGCATAACGAGATGGTTTTTTTTGTGAGAGTCAACAATTTTTTGTAATTTCAAAAACTTATGATGAGGTATATTTAGCAAGGTGTTAAAAATCGGGTTTTTGCAAGAATTTAAATTTTATTGCATATTCCGATTGAGTACTTATCCAGGTATAATATTTGTACAGCAAGATATTTCTTTAAGGCGAATCAACATTCATATAACATAAGATTCTTATATTTTCATCCTCTAATTTTTCAAATACTATAAATCAAAGCCTGCTTTTATTATTTACTATGCACAATAATTCATTATATTACATGTCAATTTCAAGTCGGATAAGATAATTTTCGAAGGGGACTTATCTATAAACCGATAAAATTTCAATGGCTAATAACCGGGGGTACTTACAAACGGGATGCATATGAAAATCGAACCAATTTATGTACAATTTGATTATAAAATAACTACTACTACTAAATGGGGAATAAGTTCCTTTTTTGCTTGAAAAACATTCAATCAAAGCAGGTAATTGTTTATGATTTGTTAACTTTACCTCTAGCTATGGATTTTCGTTAACCAAATTAATTATAAAAATGCAAAGTATTTAAAATTATAAAACGTTTTAAAATGTATAACACTGGCCAACAAAATTCTGTTAAGTGAAAAATTGTAGCCGATTCTTATATGATTTTTCTCGTATAATCCGAATCTGACCGTAAAGATATTGGATTGGCTCTATTTATCGAGCAACTTAGGTTTAAAGCTGCCTAGAAACGCGTTTTTGGACATTTTAGAGCCTCTGTAAAACAATAACTTGATGCAATATACCCGTCTGGGTGTAGGATATGAAAGCCCAAACACTGCCATTTAATACTCAAAATTACAAAATTATGGTTAAACGGTTAACGGCCTTTATCCACATACTGAAAAAATTCCTGTACCAAATCCTATAAGAATCGGCTGTAATATTTTAGTCGACATAACATTGTTTAAATTTTGTTGGCCTGTGTAATTTTTATAGAAACCAGAAAATGTGCATTGGAATTCATAGATAGATTTAAACTTCACGGTATCTCTACTGAGCACGGAATATGACTTCAAATGCGTTATGCGCATACATACTTAGATATACATACTTACATACATATATATTCACCGATATTCACATCCACGTCAATTATTCATCATCCGTAAGCGACTGTGACTAACAAAATAATTACATGAAAATCTCTAAATTAATAAAGAATGGTTTGGTTGCATTTGGTAATTTATTAGTGCAAAAAATAACTCAGTGTTCCCATTATTTATTTGCATTCGTTCATGTCAGATTAATGTGCACTGCCATCACAAGCATATATGTAAGTAATGATTCGTAAATTTGTTCTAATTCTTGTAAAAATTTTCACACGAATTCAATAAAATCCCAAATTAAAAACATGCTGAATTGCACAACACCTAAAAGGATCGAATCACCGTCACCACCATTATCTCAGCTTCAGAAACAGCGGTTACGGATCCGAAAGCAAGATGCAGAACCGCAAACGCCGACAAGTAAATACGAAAAATCGAAAAAGACGAAAGCGAAGGCAAAGGAGAATGTAGCAAATCAGGGCAAGTCTCCCACAGACGACAAATTTCCCATAGAGCGTAGCGATGAACGAGTGGTACCTCCTTCAGTACCTCCTCACACAAACCCACCACAACAAAAAGCGTCACAAATAACTTCCGAATGGACAATTCAACAGCCACACTTGGCTACATTCAAATCACCGGCACTTGTTAAGTCCTTGACTGATCCACGTACTAAAATCACAAGTACAACAATAGTGCAAGCACCCAAAACTAAAGTAGAATCTGCACTTACATCACCAACATCAACAACGGCACCAGACCCCGCACCATGTACCGTAGCTCAGAAACTAAGAAGCACTGTAGCGCAATTTATGGACGCTGAACGTCAGCAGCACATAGAGGTCACCAGCGATTTCAATGATGCTGAAGATACGGCGAGTAGCATTGAGAGTGTGATTTCTACTGCACCAACGTTGCGTACGTCCAAGGAGACCAAGGAGAAACCGTCGCTTCTACCGAAGCCAAGAGTTAAAGTTGTTATACCACCTGCATTGCTACTGCACCAGCAACAGCAACAGCAATGCCAACAACAACCGCAGCAAGAAGAACAACACGAATTATCACTATCTACACCTTCCAGTCGCATTCCTGTTCGCACGGCAAATGCTGAAAGGCGAGTACTGAAGGCAGCTGCTGCGGCGGAGGGAATAGCGGCTCAAGTTGGGGTTGTCGGTGTTGAAAATGTTGTTATTGCTATGGGGGATCGCTCACCTAATGTAATTCAACGCGAGCAGTCTCCAACAAATATGACGCAGAGCAAAGCAGTGATTAAGTAAGTCCAAACCCCATTTGCAGGAAAAAGCTATAAGAAAAGTTGCACGAAAATGGTAAGAAGAAAAGTTATGTAAATGTTTTAAAATAGTAATGCAATAATAATAGATTAGCCTGAAGTAGAATTAATTCTTTAATCAACGAGTCGACTTATACTGTTGGGGATGTCAAATATGTATTATGGGGAATACATTTATTAGGAGAAAGCTTAAAAACTAAATTTTCCGAAAATTTTACCGCTTCTTTAGAAAGATGCTGATAACTGCGGGTATGAGCACAGTCAAATACATACATACGTATACGTACATTCGAGTGGTCCAAAAACACTAAAGTCGAAATTTTAATGCCGCCATCCTCTAGGATTGTTCTATACCGAGAAAATACACCCCTATTGTTTATTTTCAAATCAAAAAATATTTAAGGAGTGTTCAAAGTGCTCAAAGTTGTCCATGTATTTAAAATCAATATTTTTTTTTTATCGGAAAACTCGGGTTCTCTTCAGGAGACTTTCAATGTTAATATCTAATTGTTTACTAAAGCATTTTCTTAATACTAAAGATTTTTTATTGGTCCCTTATTACATTTTCTGGGGGTTTTGACGGACCTATAAAATATAGTTACCATGAAAAAAATGGTTTAAGAAACAATTGGGTATTATTGTTGGGAATATCCTGAAGAGAAACAGAAATATCCTGAAGGGAAACAGGGGTTTCCGATCGAAAAATATTGATTTTCAAGAATTCTGTACCATGTCTGCGACAGAGTTGGGCAAAATTTATTCGAATGACGAATAACAAATGAATAAATTGTTTTTCTTGTTATTCGTAAATAATAAATAATTTTGTTTATTAAAAAAAAAAATTATTCGAATGACGGATAAATTATTTTATTCGTTATTCGAATAATTATTATCTTCATTAATTATTCGAATAACGAATAAAATAATAATAAAAGAAGTAATTTATGTATGTAGATATGTACATATATTTATGTATAAAATGATAACCGTTTTCGTTGTTGCGATTTAACTCAAACCTCTGGATAGATCTAAGTCAAATTTTCGGAGGTTATTCCCTGCGATAAAGGCTACTAGAAAACTCCTTGGTTGCGATGGAGCCGAGTTATTTATAAAAGCCGTATTTATGAACCGATTTCGTTCAAATTCAAAATGTGTTCTTCCTGCATGATGAAAAATACTTATGCGAAAAATGGACCCGCTAGGTGGCGCTGCAGTTGAGTTATTTAGAAAATCCCTATTTATTGTACAATCAGGTTGCAATTCATAATGGTGCTGCAATCGAAATCATCAGAAACCCCATATGTTTGGACTACTTTGTTTTTTATGTTTATATTATATGAATTTACGATGTCTTACGTCGTCATACACCCTAAATGCGACTTTGCATCTACCTCCGCTTGATGAAATTGCTCGGGCGGCCAGTGCTGCAGCAGTAAGACTCAAGGAAACCAGCTCTTGGATATTTTTAAAGTGGCGAATCAGCAAGGAAAGTGACGACCACATCCTTCCAAGAAAGACCACTGTTGGTATATCAATGGCCAAATTTTACATCGAGGGTTTTTGGCTCTCCTATAATAGAAAACGCACATCTGTGCTCTTCAGCTTCCTTATAAGGACTTTTGTTGGCCTACATGACATAAGTCCTCTAGACGCATCGGACCAATGTTGTAGTTGCAAGATCATAGAAGAAGATTACGCACGCTTAGAAAAGATCTCACAAGTGGAAATAAAACCATCGGTAAAGCTCATGACATTGAAAGGGATTTTTTCTTGCATATAGCATCAGAGCGCTATTTTTTTGGCAGAAATATGTGTGAGAAGGGTTCTGCTCTTTAGTTGTTCAACCTAAATTAAGATTTTTTACTTTACCCATATTTGGTTTTCAACGCTATTCTTGCATGGGCCAACGCAAAAAATCTTATCAGGGGCCGCGAAACCAGAGGGAATGAGCTAGTATTCTTGATAAAATAGTAAACAAAATTCAGCTAACTCACAATCCTTGACAATAGAAATAAAAGTAAAAGGTGGCTCAATGTGTTAAAAATGAATTTTTATTCATTATTTAAAATAACGAATAAAACAACGAATAAATTATTCGAAAGCAATTTATTCACGAATAATTTATTCGTAAAAGAGTTATCTGCGAATAATTATATTACGGATAAAATTTTATTCGAATAATTATCTAAATAACAATTTATTCGAATAATGCCCAACTCTGGTCTGCGAAAAGTTGTTTTCAGCCATATCAAATGCATAGAAAACTTTGAGCGCTTTGGCCCCTCCCTAAATATTTTTTGCTTTCAAAATAAAAAAACAAGGGTATATTTTTTTGGTATAGAACAATTCCGACTTTACTTCTTCATATGCATTATGGGACCACCCTGATGTACATTCATAAGTATCTCTGCAGGGAAAGCTACTAGTTGTGAACTAGAATTCTACCAGTTTGCGTTTCGGCCCAACTAGTTCACGTTCTATCCACGTCCACCAAAATATTTCGGAAAAATATCAAGATTTAAGCGAGCTGGACCGATTTGAAAATACCTGCAAAAATGGAGTTTTTTATGAATAAAAATAGTTTTTTAAGATTTTTTTTGAAAAAAGTCCTCTCAAATGACTAAACGGTTTAAGCTTAAGAAATTTGCATAAAAATATTTTTAAAAAATTTTAAAAAATGTTCAACGGAATCGTAATAATAAGCTTTTTGTTGCTGTTTTTTAACTTTTTTCAAAGATTGGTATACGAAAAACTTGGATAACTGAACCCAAACTCTTCCGATTTAGACTCGTGAGGTATCATTGGAAAGGTATTTTCTCACCCTTTTTATTTCTTTGCTAATACTCTCATTCAAAGGATGAAAGAGAAAGGTAGGATGAACGAGCTTCATTCAATTTTGAATTAAGATGTGTTGGTATTTAAAAAACAAAGGGGCACGAATGACTTTTTTTGCTAAGAAATAAAAATACTGGGAAAATACTTTTCTACTGAGATCCCGTAAGTCTAAATCAGAATAGTTTTGGCCCCGTTATTTAAGTTTTTCGTAAATCAATCTTTGAAAAAGTAAAAAAAAAACAGCATCAGCAATCTCATTATTGCGGTTCCGTTGAAAAGTTTTTAAATATTTTAATGCAGATTTTTTAAGCCTTATCTGTTTTGTCATCTGAGGGGACTTTTTTCAAAAAGTTCTTTAATAAACTATTTTTATTCATAAAAAACTCCATTTTTGGAGGTATTTTCAAATCGGCCCAGCTTGGTTAAATCTTAATATTTTTCCGAAATATTTTGGTGGACGTCTTAGAATATAGTAAATTTTGTAATCCCCCTACGCAACCTTTCGTAGCAAGGGGGACAAAAAGACCAAATGGGGTATGTCCCATGTTCTGGCGCTTTGGATTGTCGTAATGAATCCATTTTTCATCGCCGGTACAATGCCATGTAAAAACGACTTCGCTTTGTACCGTTGAAGGAACATTTGATTAACAGAAGAGTTCGTGAGGCACCCAGTTTTCGACTTTCTGCACCATACCAATGGCTTTCAACCGCAATGAAATATCTAGTTGAGTCACACTTAATACTCCTGCAAGTTCTTCTTGGGTTTGGCACGGGTCTTCGTCCAAAATTGCCTCCGATTCGGCATCTCCAAACCTTTATGGTATTCCTTCGCGCAGCTGTGTCAAAGTCACCACTTTGCAAACGTCGGAAGCAATACTGACAGGTTGAAATTGATGGAGCATGGTCTCCGTAAGCCTCACACTGCAGCCGATAACTTTCTGCTGCAATTTTCTACCAATTCTTCCCGCGAATGGAGTTTTGTAGGCATAGTACATACTGTAAAATGTGGTTAAATGATGATGCTTTAACATGAAGTTGGCTGCAACATTGCCCGGTATGCTTAAACACTACTGATGCCCTATGTTGACAATCCTTTAAAACTTACTTATATGTATACCCATACTGAGAAAAGAGTTTAGTTACGTCAACTATATATGTTTCTATCAACACACGATTTGGTTATAGTAACATTATTTGGTTATATTTACCAAATCATGTGTTGCGAGAAATATACTTAGCTGAATTTTTATCTGCGAGCAATATTTATTATTATCAACCAATATGTAGTATGAGTAGAAGTCGGTCAGAAATCCATTCTACCTTGCTGAATGTGCCTTGCTTGGAACAAAAAATTTGCTTAAAAAATATTGAGATACATATGTATAAGTGGTTGAGTACTAGAATTTACGTAAAAATATTTAAGCATACATATGAATTTATCAATTTATGAATGCCCCGTTAGATGTCATTTAAAAACACTGTCAATTTTGTATAAACGTATATAGTATGTATGTAGTTTTAAGTGAGCACATTGAAAATAATTCAGTTCCATTTTATAACACTCGCACTATCCATACGACCGTACTTCACAACCTCAATGCAGGTAATTGAATGCATACATACATAGGCAAATATTCTTCCATAATTTTATATAATGCACGCGATTCATAACGATCCCTGCATCCTTTTTAAGTATAGTGTTCAAACTACCTTTTTGTTTCATAAATTTGGAAAGCTTTAGTAAAGCTTTTATCTAGACTCTTAAAATTAGCAAATTTCAAATTTACACTTTTACCTGCGTTCTTATATAAATGCACCTGATACCAGCATTGTATAATCATATTTAATTCACTGGGCTATTTAAGATAAAATATCATGTAATTTGGATTTTAATTTGTTTTTTTTTGCAGTCAGATGTTAGTGTTAAAGCTGGAAACTCACATACATATGTATGTATATGTATGTTGCTGTATAAGTTTATTCAATTATTCATTAGACGAAATCATAGCGTAAAATTATTTAATTGTTTAAAGCATTATATGAGTTCTAGCAGTTAGTTTATGCGGTAATAAATATATTCGGCTTATGAGGTATACTTGGCTTTTACACATTTAGATTAGTACCCTTTTTATGTTTTTTTTATGATTTTTGAGTATGTAAATATTTATTGGTTTATGGTGTGTGTATTAATTAGCAAAAAAAGGTACATACAAATAAGCAATAGTTCTCTTCAATGTTTTCTACACCCTGTATTGAGTCATCTTACGTGTTCTCTTTGTGTATGTGTTTGGTTATTTTCCTTAGCTTATTTTTTCCAATTCTGAGTCAATTATACGTGTTTCTTTTAGTATATTATAATTTATTTAAACATTGATAAAATGAATTAAAATTTTATTCACCTTTATTCCATCTATAGTGCTGAGAAACGAGCGTCCTGGCGTGCTGCTCGCTTGCGCTCCCTGGAACAAGGTGCCCAGGAGGCTCAAGACGTCATCAAAAATATGAACAAAATTGCTGATGATCTACTTGTTGCACCTGTTGAGGTTTGTATGCAAAGTTTCGATGTAATCATTATGTACAACTGGCATTCATTTCATCATAACCACTTTTATATAAAAGCTTTCTAAAAAAGTCCCTCCCAATCCAAGGATCTCTAATACACCTTGGTACAGATTTGCTTGAACTAATGGCTTGTTGCAAAATGTCGTAACCTTCATGCATACGTACCTACTACACGCATTATTGTCAAATGGATTAAAATGTGGTGCTTGTTTTTTGCATTTTCCTGCCTAAGTAATATACATACGTATGTTCATTTATACATATAAATAATTTTAGCAACTAACTATACTGACGATTAATTACCCACATTTAAGTGATATTGCAATTAATATCTGTAGAAAATCCTGTTTTAACTGAAGAGTAATCCTCAAAAAAGCATACAAATTGTTTTTCGAATGGTCGGCTAGCTTTGTCTGTATACATTTCTTGATTGACATCCCTGACGACATATCTTAGTCTGCTGTTCGTAGGCTTCAACTGTTTTGAAAAGCAGCGCAAAGCAAATAATGAATACAGTCGAGGTAGTCATGTCGTTGTGTGTCTGGGTTCAAGATAAATTCGTACTACGTCATTATTATTTGGTAAAAATTTTGTCTTTCGGTGGAAAGCGAACTCCTTGAAATTGTGACCATTGCAAAAATATAAATGGTGAAGAATCGGACGAAATACTTCTCATAAAATCAATAGGAAAAGCCTTTTGGAAGCCACTTTATTGTTCCTTCGCTGACTAGGTAGGTTTAAAGCAAGACACACACATATGTACGTACGTAAAATATGTACGTTGCTTAATTCGATCTTTGAGCCGTACTGAGTGACGAAGCTTATTCACTGCTAAGAGCAACGTTTGTAATTTCCCAATTTACTACAGGACGAGGGCGAGTTCGAATCGAGTTCGTTTCGACGTCGGTATGGGGAGCTCGAGGAACTATAAAAACTGAATGCTAGTTTTGAGCCACTTCAAGCTTGCACTATATGTATTATTCTAAAATTTGAATGGTCTATGCATATAACTCCATGCCTTTTTTTTAGTTTCTGATAAAAAGTATGAAATTTTCAGGAAATCGGGTTGATTTTAATATTGCACACAGTTTGAAATTTGGATGTACATATATGGCTTTTGTTTTAGAATACAGTACATATTGTCAGCTGAGTGTGAGATCGTCCTGCCGCAGATGCCGACTCGAAAGCGCCATACCTCAGCAAACGGTTGAAAAAGCTCTATTTCAGAATTTTGTTGAAGAACGCCCTATCTCAGCATTTCAGAAACGCCATATATCCACTGCCGCTTTCTAAAACGCACTATCCCACTATATAATTTAAATATATATATCGGCAGTTGAGATAGGGCGTCATTGAAACGCTTTCGAATCGGCAGCCGAGATAGGGCGATCTTCCACTCAGCCGTCGATATGTACATATCGATGGTCCTGTGCAATAACGAGACAATTCAAACTTAAAAAAATAAAAACTGTTACTACTGTTAAGTAGCTCTTGTCTATAAGTAAGTAGTTAGGATTGCTAAAGTAAGTACAAAAGATTAGACATGGATTCGACAAGGATTAGAAACATGAGCCACTTAACAGTAGCAATAGTTTTTATTTTTTGAATACACAGGACCATCGATATGTAAATATCGTCACCCTTATGCCAGAAGTATTCATGAACAAATTTACCCATTTTGAGTTATTGGATTGACTTGATTAACCTTTGGATGTTCTATGTTATACCAAAACCTAGAATAGCATGCGTACATGGAAACCACGTATTTTACAATGTCAATTACATGAATAAAAAACTTTCAAACTAGATTTTCCAACATTTTCATTTTTACACGTTCATGTTTCTGGCATAAGGTGGACATAGATACCTATTTTTTAAATAATGCATTGAAAAAAAAAAACAATCCAGTTGCAATTTCTTAGTACTGCATACATTTTTGGCACCGTTTTGCCGAACAAAATGTTCACCCCAACGATTCGAAACTGAATTCGATTCGAAGTCGTTTCGCAAATTACGTTCTTAGCATAAATTTACTCATATCTTTTTGATGGGCTAACGTTATTTGTGATTTTTAAATCCACTTTAAAAATGCATCTTAGTACATATGTAGGTAAATAAATAGTAAATTTGTTTGCGTTGATTTATTAACAGTTTGGACATGGATCAACTCGATCAACTTAATTCTACTTTGGCGAGGATTTAACCGATTTGATCTTGGCCGTCGTTGGCTTGCGTACGATATTTTCGTCCATCGAAAACGTCGGGTTGATCGACTAAGTTTTGTGTTTCAAAGAAAAGATAATAATGACATACATATCGCTAATTTATAGTACTTAAAAAAACTCGTAACTTAAAAATGCTGATTTTCAAGATACAATTGACATGTAGTTTTATATTATTAGCTCAGCCTGTAGGAATTCACTTAAATTCATTAAGGACCTCCATGCCAAAAGCCTATGATGCAAGTGAGTAAAGCTACAATTTCGCCAACTTTCCTACAGTTTAGTAGAATTCGAAAAATGTTTGAAAGTTCTCAAAGTGAAGCAAATAAAGGAAGCGAGCATGGGCCCAATACCTTGACTACATAAATGAAGACATATGTTTTTGAATTTATTGTACTTGAAATTTTAATGCACTACGGAAGAAAGTGTTGGAGGAACGGAACGAGATCGCAACCTCTTTTATTTAAGACATTCCTTATTTTTTCAAAGTACACCGCCCGAACAAAGTATTGGCACAGCAAATTTTTCACAATATATGCAAAAGTTTTCATTCTAATATTTTTCCACTGATTTCGTATAAAAATATGTTTCATTCTACAACAAAAAACATAAAAATATAATTCCTAAACTTTGTGCAAAACTCGCGAAAATTCAGCAAATTTTCATGAAAATTTAAAATTTTTTAAGAAGATTTTTTAGAATTTGTTTGAGTATGCATATTTGTAGCCCAATGAATTTTATTATAATAAAGTGCAAGATTTAAGTAGGAAGAAATTACCGTTGATTTTTGGCATTTTTTTTCCACGCAGTCTCTTCCATTTAACAATTTTTTTTCGAAAATACTTTATATGGAAAAAATGCAAAACACCTTCAACAAAAAAAATTCTCAAAAATCAACGCGATTTTTGACTAACTCCTAACTTGCATTTTATTACTAGAACTTAATGGGCTGCAAAACTGCATACTCAAAAAAATTCTCAAAAATATGATTAAAAAGTTGAAAATTTTGATGAAAATTTGCTGAATTTTGGCGAGTATCGCACAAAGCTTAGGAATTATATTTTTGTGTTTTTTGTTGTTGAATAAACCATATTTTTATACGAAATTGGCAAAAAAATATTAGAATAAAAATTGTTGCATATATTATGAAAAATTTCTGTGCCAATACTTTGTTCGGGCGGTGTATTGCACTTTTCGACATGTACACGTTTATCGTCGCTTGGCGCGCAATATCTCGTATCTGCCAACTGCAATGCCACGTATGAGGTGGCATAGAAAAAAATTTATTTTGGTTACCCTTTCTCAATGCTTCCCTACTTCACCAATTTAATGGTCAATAATTATAGTAGAAACTCACATTTAGTAAGTTTAGGTGGAAAGCCATTTAAAAGTTTTAACGAAAATAAATTTCTTCGCTCCTTTTTGAAATTCGGACTGTCTTATAAGTGATATTGCATTTGGCGGATACGAGGTATTGCGCGCCAAGCTACGTTATATGTAGCATACGCTTGGAAATTTGATTTGTTTAATCAATTGATTTCTTTCACACTCTTACAGGCGTTATAGGCCCAACTATACATACTTAAAGAACCTCTGTCTGATATTTGTTCTTAATTAAATTACTTTAGAGAGTTTATATAGGGTTTAGGAATGTTTTCGTTTTAGCTCTGTAACCTTCATACTTCATTCATACGTCACTTCAAAGCCATTCATTGTGTACCTATAAATGTAGTTATTCGGTAAAAATCATTGCTAACAATTTACCATTATCATATTTTTTTCTCATATTTATTTGTAGCAGGTTAAAAAAATTGTTTTCCCAAAAATCGCTATAAAATCAAGCGATGGTCCCGTTATAATACGCGAACGTGAAAAGATACTAGATGAAAAAATTGTGCGGCGAACCGAAGAGGTACCATGTCCTCTCACAGGACGACCTCAACTGCGAACTGTTGAATACATTGAGAAAATCATCGAAACTGAGGTTAGCTTCATAAATACCCAAATTCTTAAAATTGTATAGACAGATAAAAAAAATTGGTGGAGACTTTAAATGAAAGTATTTAGTTGAAAAAACTTATCATGGTTTCCTTCAATATTCACATGATATTTTTTTCTTTTTATTTTGACGCTTCTGCGTTAATTGATTTGTATGTACATGTATATCTTCTTTATGGAGTGTTTTCTGTTCGTGTAGTAACGTAAAAGCAGCTATGTAATTTACACACATTACGCATTATCCCTGCGGGAAGGAAGATATGATGTACACATCAATTGATTTGATGTATTAGTATATTCAATACAAATTGGTTTGAATGTTTTCACGGTATATTTAGAATTGCGTTTGTACTTTTATCGTATTATGCACTGGCTATAGAGAACGAATTTCTATTGAAGGGAGTTTCACGATGACCTGACTTTTTTTAGTTTTATTGTTTTCTTATGTCTTCGTGGTGAAAATAAAGTCCAGACATATGCGTATTTGACAATTGGCATATCCATAGGGGTTTAGGTGCTTTTCGGACCAAATCACCCAATTACTATGTGAAATCGGTCATTGAGTGCGAAAATCCACATAATTTTTTCTATCGTGCAGTTTTCGAGATATCGCCACATAGCGAATTTTGATTATTGCGATTGAAATTACCAAAAGACGTTGTTGAAGATGTTTATTTTCATATACAAAATTCCCATTTATGACTATAAATAGTATAATAATTTGCTACTTGGAAAACCAACTAATGATATCATAACAATGGAAATATAGCAAGTTTAATTATCTTTCATTTAATATAGCATCTGCTCTGATCGGTTAACGAGTTCATCAAATTTGAAAAATTTGTATAATCCATCTTTTCTCTTTTTTTTAAATGCGTTATGTGGCGATATCTCAAAAACTACATGACAGAAAAAAATTTGTGGATTTTCGGATTAACCGCCTTAAAGGAATTTTAAGGCACAATCCATACAAAATCACGAAACGAAAATTTATATCTCAGGTCATTTATAAAACCCTTCTATATGAATATGCACAATCACATAATTTACAATTTCAACTACATTTTTTCGTCAAGTTCATGTTTTTGCACCCTGTAATTTTGTAGATATTGTATACACTTTAAAACTTTCGAGTTCATAGTAAATTAAAGTACATAATAGGCGGCTCCATTGTAACCTATTTGTGTAAGTATATGTATATGTATGTATGTCAATGGTGATCAAATGTTTGCTTCTTCGCTTTATTCTTGCATAGCACACTGCGGCTTTTCTTGTTTTTTATTGTATATATTTATACCTTCTTGATTAGCTGTTGTCTGGGTATGTGGCTATATCTTTTACTCAGTTTCCAAAAATTTTGATTTTATGTATAGGCTCAATTCGTGTACTTTTCTTAGGCTTACAACTTTTTATTTGTAATCCGATAGGATTTTTACAAACTTTTAATTTACAACATCGTTACGAAATGGAAATAAACAAAGTGTTAATGTTTGGTATATGCCAAAAAAAATACAATTGTTTTGATGAAATACTATATTAAAAAAATAAATAAATAAGTGTTTGAGGAGCCACGAAAAAAATGTGTTGTGTGGATACCACGCACGGCTGAAGTAAAACTTGTTCTTCCTCTATGATACCCATCTATATCTATATATATATATACATATATATATACAATACGCGAAGGGAATTTTTGTCCAGGACATAAAATCTGCACCGTTCGTATGAGGCATCAAATTAAAGCGCCTGGCATGTAGATGTGCAAACTGGTTTTATTTTTTCGAAGACAGTTGCCACCTGATAAAAAATCTCATTCAAATTAATTATTAATAAATGCCACCGTCCTTTCGATTTTCAAAACTGAGATATCAACTTAAAGGGATTGACCTGCTGATGTGCTGCAATACAAGTTATATGGAATATAAATAAAGAGTGCTAAGAAATCCTTATGTAGTTTTAACATTAGAATTTCTTTGAGGTATTGAGGAGGGTTGCCAGCTGTTGAAAATGTTAAATCCAAATTATTTAATAAGTTAAATGAATTAATTAATGGTGTGTTGCAATCGGAATGGGTTTGAAAAGGATTTATTTCTGAAATGTGTTTAAGAGACTTGCCACGGGTTAAAAATTCAAATTTAATTGAATCCATTAGATAATTGAATTAGGTGTCAAACTATCAGACGGAAGAGGTTTAAAAAAATTTTAGATTGAAAATACTTTTAAAGAGGGCTACCACCTGTGAGAGTCCAATTTATTTAGCTTATACTCAAGTTAGATGAAATATTAAAATCTCTGTGTCAAATGAAAGAGTTTTAATAAAACTTTAGTTAGAAAATATTTTTTATTAGCCCAAAATAAAATAGCGCAGTGGCAGTGGCAGTGACAGTTTTTAAAATCAGCTGTTACTGCTAACATTGGCAGTCATTTCCGCAGCAAATACAATACGGCATTGTCAGTGACTGCCTTTTTTGACATTCCCTTTTGTTTGTTTACATTTTTGTTGTTGCCTGTTAGGCTGCAGTGACATCAACAGAAGTTGGTTGGTCTTAATTTATATCAAATTCAACACGCGAAGTTTGCTGCGATGAAGGTAGTCGCAGTGAATTTAGAATTTGGGCTAAACTGAGCAGTACTGCTAGCTGCCACTGATGTATTGTGAGGCGCATCATTGGACACCACACTTTCTAAAAAACAGCTGATTTCGAAAAACTGCCGCTGCCACTACCACTGCGTTATTGTATTTTGGGCTTTAGGGTTGCACCTATTGGAAAAGTAATATCTATTTTACTGTCTACATAGAAACATATATTAAGCGTGGTCCATATACATACACTCCTATGCTGTAATCCGTCGTAGATTCGATTTTGCTATGAATCGTAAAATTGGTATGCTGAAATCCGCGTTGTCGTATCGTTATTTGGAAATTCGTAGGCCATCTTCGAAATTCGTAATGTTGGTATGCCTGAATCCGACGTAGCTGTAACTTTCATGTATTTGTCGGAAATTTTGTACGAATAGCAACTCGTGTCGGAGCGAAACAAATTGTTTTAAAATATCAATAAAATAAAGTGTGTAAACGCAAATATATGTGAATAGGAAAAAAAATATTATTAAATGTTTACAAAATTAACAGATCGAAGATCACAACAGATCGCTCGCGATACGAAAAACTGGTGGAATGCATGAGCGAAAGGCTGGAATTGGTCGAGGCTTTGTAAAAGGAGCTAAAGAGGATGTGGTGAAATTTTGGGAAAGCGTTTCAAGAATTAAAGCGGCACAATATCTAGTGAAATGGAGGCCCTAAAGAAGGGAGCTTACATTTTATCATTTAAGCTAAATGGTTCAGAACAATCTCCTTTGTATATTAATTCAACTGTAAGCTGTAAGCGCTAAGTTAACAGCCGTTTTGGCGGTGTAAGTGGCCACCTCGGTTCTGCGATTTGATGCCGTTAGACTTTTTTGTGATGTGACGTGAATGACCGACAGTATGCAAAAAATCCATGAACGATGTAGGCACTTGCGGCAAATATCCAGCAAGCCATACGGGAGATAGAGCCGGAAACCGTCACGAAGGTCTTGAAAAACTGGGTCAACAGTATGTGCTGCTGCTCATTTGTTTGAATTTAAAAAAAACACTATATGGACAATTTTTTGTAAAAGTCATCAGATCAGTTATTTCGAAATGATTTGTTGAATTAAAGAACTGGGCCTATAGATTAGGTATTTCTTATTTAACATTTAATTTTTTTAGCGGTACAGGGTGATTTGAAATTTGATGGAATGAAAAACCGACACCTCTCTTTACTCAGAAACGGATGACGGATTAAGATGAAACAGTTGGAATACTTATACAAATTTTTGATTAGGCTTTCCATCCTAATCAGCTTAAAAAGTTAAATAAAATTTTTGGCGTCTTAACGCCATACGGGTTCACTAGTTTCTTATATATCTTGTGTATAATTTAATTAAATTAGACTTTTCAAACAGGTGAAAACCCCTTAAAAACATTTTCAAACTAAAGCCTCCTCAGGCCTCGTCTAACTCCATATTTTGATAATAATTTAATTATCTAATTGCCGGAATTCAAGTTGCCTTTTCAAACCCAATTCGATTTACTCCCATCTCTTAAGAATTAATTTAACTTATTATTTTAATATTTCACATAATTTGTGTATATTTTAATTAAATTCGACAGGTAGTAACCCTCTATAAAATATTTTCAAACTCAAACTAAAGAGAAATAGCCAAAACTTGCTTAAATGTCGCGTCCCAGTTTATATTTAGGTCACTGTATATGTGTTTAAAATAAAAATCATTGAAATCGGCTCAGTTCGCTGGTTTCTTTCGAACTTTTCGGATTAGAAAAAATTATCTTTCAATTGTATATATGTAAATCAGTTCGACATGAAAAATTTCTCCGGGATTAGGCTACCGATTTCTAATTGATTTTGGGTCGCTAAACGGAATTTTCTCCAGCCGCTTGCTTTCGCAACCGGCTAAATCTAGCCGGAAAACAGCTAAATGGGCAACACTGCACGCGACTATAAAAAATGAATACAAAGCTTAAAAGAGCTTTGCCCGCGGGCAGGGCTGTGCCCATCACCGTATTAGAGCCAACCGAGCGGTACGCGGGGCATGGTATTTCGCTAGCGATTATCTGGTGCAAAATTAGCGATTACCAATCGGTAGCGAATTGCCTAATGCATAGAATCGCTAGCTCATGGTCGTCTCTTGTCACCAGTAGAACTACAGGGTAGTGGTTTGTGCATTCGTGTATACATATGCCAATTTGATGCTTCTTAGCCAAGTGATAGTGAAGTTGCTGTTGCTTTTCTGCCACTACGCTACCGTTGTGCTTTCACAAATTGCTTTTTAACTGAGTGGTTGCTTTCAAATTTCTCAGCAAAATAACAGCCAAAGCATTTGCTTTTTTCATGAATTACTGTTGCTTTGCTTTCGATATCATACTTGCCGAAGTCAAAGTAC